ACTTAATAAATTAAGGAAACAGAACGTATGAAGGGGAAACAGTCATTTCCATTTCACATGCACCAACCGTGCCTTTCACAAGTCCATGCATGGGCAGCTCTGATTGTCTTCATGTCCCCTGGGGTGGAGTGGTAGCACAGCAATTGCTCATGGCACATGGAATGTGGAGGGGGCGGGGCCTGCAGAGGGAGGTGAGCCTGGGATTCTTGGACCTGCAGGTCTACCAGAGTCTGCAGCATCTCTGTTTGCGGCCTGAGAAGCCCCACTATGTCCTTGTGCATCCCCCTCTCTTTCTCCATGCTGGCTGCAAGGGTGATCCTCCAGGCTCTGGTCTCATTCTCTGTTGCAGCACAGGCTTGCAGGATCTCCTGGAATAGGTCATCCTGAGCCCGCTTCTTTCTCCCACTCATCTCATCTGGCTAAGACTTTTGGCGGGTGTGGAGGGGGAGAGCCTCAAGGCCACAATAGCAGCAACTGCAGGTATAACACACAGGAAGCGTTGTCAGTGTGTTCACAACAAAAATCAAAACTTAGGCTACTGAACTCACTCCCCTTGATCCGCAGAAGTTGTAAGCACTGCCTTCTCACTTCTCCTTGGGATTGATACAGCATGGCATCAGTCAGAGCACCAGCCCTGGTGAGTATGGCTCTTGGGGTGGGGCCAGAATGAGGGGGATACACCCCAGGCATGAATATATTTATATAGGGCAATGAAACTCAATACTGGCACCAATTCCCACAGGCAGAAGTGATTGTAGCCACTCTGCCTCTGTCACCCTCAGGAGTGAGAGAGCACAGCTACTGCTGGCATCCTGATGCCACCTAGACCCATATGCTGTTAGCCCGTGTGCTGCAATGATGCCTGCTGAATTAACTGCTAAGTGGCATGGGAAAGTGTCCTACCATGGCAGAAGTAGTAAGGCAAGCCTCCCCAGAAACCTTTGGCAGAGGATTGCAGAGTACCTGCATAAAAGTGTCAGCAAGATCTCTATAGAGGATTCACAGGACGTCCTGGTGCATGTAAACAAACTGCTCCGTCTGGCCCCCTCTGCATAACTCCAGAGAGGAATGAGGAGCGGACAGCAACTCTACCTCTCTTGGTTCTACCACTGCCTTGTCTAGCAGAAGTGATAGAGAGAATTCAACAGATGTGTCCTGCTACTTTGGGGGCTCTACCCTTGTAACTTCAAAGCAAACTGCACATTTACCAGAGGTTCCTTCCCCTGCATCAGGCTCACCTGTTGGGACTGGCTGGACTGCACTGGAGTCAAACACAGGTCCTGGCTCACTGCACAGCTGGATCCCCCAGTCGCCTGTCCACCAGCCTCCTCCGCCTCTTCCTTGTCCACCCTCCCCTCTCACTGATCATGGTGAGGGCTCATGGTCCTCCAAAGTTATCCATAGGGCTCTTGGGGGCGGTGGTGGGGTCTTCTCCAAGGTTGACATGCAGCTCTTTGTAAAAGAGGCAGGTCTGCAGCTCAGCACCAGATGGATTGTTGGCCTCCTTAGCCTTCTGGTACCCCCGCTGCAGCTCCTTGGCTTTCACACAGCACTGCTGCTGGTCCCGCTTGTAGCCCTTCTCCTGCATGCCCTGAGCCACCCGCTCACAGAGGTCAACAGCTCTGTGGCTGGATTGGAAGTGTGCCTGCACAGCCTCGTCTCCCCACAGCCCCAGGAGATCCAACACCACCTATGTACTCCAGGCAGGAGCGTATCTGGAGCACGTAGCTGGCATAGTCAGCTGGGCAGTAGCACACAAGAGTGGAGAGCTGCCCCACTAGGTGTGCTCACCAAGCCAGGCAATCAGGAAAAGGAATTTAAAGAAGTTGCGAGGCTTTAAAGGGGAGGGGCAGCTTCCTGTCCACCTGGCCCCTGGGCAGCAGAGTACACACTGGTGACCAGAGCTGTCAATGTGGGGCATTGTGGGACATCACCTGGAGGCCAGTAACAGTCAAAGTAAGTAACAGTGTCAACGCTGACCCTCTGTCGACCTAACTACATGGACCTTGATTCTATGCCACTCAAGGAAATGGTGTTATTAAATCGGTGTAGTGGAGCAGTTTTGCCAGCAAGAGTGAAATTTAAAAGCATAGACATTTCCACAGCCAGGTTGATGCAAGATGCCTTTCATCGACCTAAGCGTGTAGTGTAGACCAGACTCAAGTTAAATAGAAATTAAAAGGAACACAGTCACATGGGTGAAATGCTGCAAGCTGTATGGATACTTTTAAAAACCATGATAAAGAGGCTCAAACTAAATGTATTCCCCAAATAAAAACCGTGAGGGGACCAAAAAAAAAAGTCACCACAGTTAAACAGAGTAAAACAGATGGTCAGAGACAAAAAGATGTCTTTTAAAAATTGGAAGTCAAATTCTACTGAGGAAAATAAAAAGGAGCATAAACTCTGGAAAGTCAAGTGTAAACATAAATAAGGCAGACCAAAAAAGAATTTGAAGATCAACTAGCAAAAGACACAAAAACTAAGCAAAAAAAATTGTAAGTACATTAGAAATAGGAAGCCTGCTAAACAACCAGTGGGGCCACTGGATGGTCAAGGTGTTAAAGGAGCACTCATGGAAGATCAGGCCATTGTGGAGAAGCTAAATGAATTCTTTGAAGTCTTCACTGCAGAGGATGTGAGGGAGATTCCCACACCTGAGCCATTCTTTTCAGGTGACAAAGTTGAGGAACTGTCCCAGATAGAAGTGTCAGTAGAGGAGGTTTTGGAAGAAAGTGATAAACAGTAATAACTCACTAGGACCAGATGGAATTCACCCCAAGGGTCTGTGGAAACTTGTATGAAACTGCGGAACTACTAACTGTTGTATGTAATCTATTGCTTAACTCAGGTTCTGTACCAGTTGCCTGGCAGATAACTAATGTAACTCCTATGTTTTTATAAAGGCTCCAGAGGCAATCCTGGAACTTACAGGTCGGTAGGCCTAACTTCAATACTACGCAAACTGATTGAAACTATAGTAAAGAATAGAATTATCGGACACATAGATGAATGCTATATGCTGAGGAAGAGTCAACATAGCTTTTGTAAAAGGAAATCATGCCTCACCAATCTATTAGAATTCTTTGAGGGTATCAACATGCACATGGACAAGGGTGTTCCAGTAGACACGGTGTACTTGGACTTTCAGAAAGACTTGGACAAGGTTCCTCACCAAAACCTTTTAAGCAAAGTAAATAGTCATTGGATAAGAGGGAAGGTCCTCTCATGGATCAGTAAGTGGTTAAAAGATAAGAAACAAAAGGTAGGAATAAGTAGTCCGTTTTCACAGGGATCTTTTAGACCAGTGCTGTTCAGCATTCGTAAATGATCTGGGAAAAGGGGTAAACAGTGAGGTGGTAAAGTTTCCAGATGATACAAAAATTATTCAATATAGTTATGTCCAAAGCAGACTGCAAAGAGATACCATGAGATCTCAAACTGGATGACTTGGCATCAAAATATATGAAAATCAATGTTGATAAATGCAAAGAAATGCACACTGGAAAATACAATTCCAACTATTATACACACATATACATATATATATACACACACACACACACAAAATGATGGGGTCTAAATTACCTGTTATCATTCAAGAAATATCTTGGAGTCATTGAGGATAGTTCTCTGAAAACTTCTGCTCAACATGCAGTGGCGGCAGTAAAAAAAGCTAACAATGTTAGTAACCATTAGTAAAGGGATAGAAAGAAAGACAGTAAACATCATGCCACTATATAAATCCATGGTACATCAACACCTTGAATACTGCGTGCAGTTCTGGTCGCTCCATCTCAAAAAAAGATAGATTAGAATTCAAAAAGGTACCGAGAAGGGCAACAAAAATGACCGGGAGTATGGAACAGCTTCCGTGCAAGGAGAGATTGGGACCGTTCAGCTTAGAAAAAAGATGACTATGGGGAGAAATATGATGGAGGTCTATAAAAAAAAATCAATCACAAATGGTGTGAAGAAAGTTATTTACCTCTTCATATAAACACAAGAACCTGAGGTCATCTGATGAAATTAACAGCAGGTTTAAAAACAAACATAAGGAAGTACTTCTTCACACAGTGCTGTGGAACTCATTGCCAGGGGATGCTGTGAAGGCCAAAAGCATAACTGGGTTGAAAAAAAAGCATTAGATAAGTTCACGGAGGACAGGCCCATCAATGGGTATTAGCCAAGAGGGTCAGGGATGCAACTCTACGCTCTGCGTGTCGCTAGCTTCTTACTGCGATATTGGGACTGGGTGACGGGATGGATCACTCAATAACTGCCCTATTCTGTTAATTTCCTCTGGGGCACCTGGCGCTGGTCACTACCGGAAGACAGGATGCTGGGCTAGGTGGGACTGTTGGTCTGACCCAGTCTGGCCATTCTTATGAGAAAAGCGGGAGAACACTTCATTTAAGAATCCAGCTGGGATTAGGTGTGTGTTAGCTCCCAGACTTTGAGAAACCAGCCCCATGGCAGTGAACTCAGAATCCAACAGGCCCTAGCCTCAAGGGAATTTCAGCATGCTTAGCTCTTCCAGAAAACATTTTAAACTTGGAAAGACACTGCAAGGTAGGATGGCAGCACATCCCGCATCAGGGAATACTGACACGCCACTGCAGGGCATCTGAGTGCAGCAGGAATGCTAAGCAAAGGCCACAAACAAGTGAACTTTATGCTCTAGATGTTTCCTTGACCATACGGATCTCCTCTCATTGCCAGTTGCCATTACAAGCAAGTTTCCAGCCAATGGCAGTGAAGACTGGTTAGCAGCAACTTCCGGCTCACTGGGCAAAGTGAACTTATTCTCAGGCCAGTGCCTTACAGACAGCCACTTTGCTAAACCTCTTGCCTGAGGCTTCCTGGAATGGGCTTGGACACTGAGCTACCCTCCCCAGGTGTGAGAGCGATCCCTTAGCTCTGAGGGGAAGTATAGGGGCTGCTTGCTGCCAGCCACCTTTGCAAGCACGACATTCGCTTCATTTAACAAACTTGCTCGGTAAAGTTTCACCACCATTTATTTGAGACGCAGTAATTTACATGTAAACACAGACACCTGGGTGGTAAGGCACTTGGTGAGACCAGGCAAGGAGACAAATAACCACTCAGATGGGCTTCAGCAGCCAGGGATTTCTGGGCTGCGTTTCCTTCAGTCTTCTTGTCTAAGGAGCAGCTGATTCACAATGCACCCCAGATGGTACCTGCCACAGGCACAGACGCAACCTCGCTGCAGAGAAGTCCATTCCTCAGTATGAAACCTTGTCAGAAGGACACAGATCCTGAACAGCTAAATACAGACAGAAAGAGTTGCTATTTCCCCAAACACTTGGATGGCACAAGTGATGCTGAGACTGATTCCCTGGAGATACTGCTCCTGGGGTTTCCTCTGTTCAGAAATAGGCATGTAAAAAGCTCAGGGCTTGGCTGTGAAGTAACCAGGTTTAGGGCTGGTTTCCTGCATTAAGAAACTATACTCCAATAAACCCAGGAGCACTGACTCTGGACCAGACAGGCTGGATAACCAAGCGAAGCTACTTCTGGAGCTGTGTATCCATTTTCTCAAGCAGGCAGTCTCTTTCCATGCACAGAATTGCACACATGGCCAGGGGCATTATGGAAGCAGCAGGAGATTTTGTATCTTCTGCTGAAATACTGGGGATTTATTGGCCACTGCTGGAGGCAGGCTACAAGGGGATGAGGATGCAATGGGCTTCCCTGGGACAGGAAGTACAGCTATTCTGATTCCTTCGGAAGCATTAAAAGAATGACATTGAAGAATACAGCAACCGGTGGGGAGGGGGGATTCTACGGTGGGAAACATGCAGCCACTGAAGTGAGCTGTAGAACAACAAGCAATCACAGGAAAGGATCTGGGTGGGGTGGGGCTGAGGTGTGCCTAGAAGTACCCTATGCCAGAAGGAAAGGAGCAGGCCAGCTGTGGATGCAGCAAGGGCACCTGTGCTCTCCTGAATCCAAAACAACAGGAACCACGATCCTTGTGAACCAAGCAAGGGGAAGCTCCAGCATGGTAAGTACCCCAGGCACAAGCTCCCCAGTACCCCCAGGCACAATCACCCTGGCAGGGGGCCTGTTAACCCTCGAGCCTGTAGCATTAGCTCAGCTCCAGTGAAAGCCCCACTGCACAGCTCACGGAGACTGGGGAGGAAGGAGGCAGTGACACACTGCAGCCTTGCAGGAGGCCTTGTCCGAACACACCTGAACTCCGTGTGCCAGGGCAAGCAGAGCTGCTTTCGCTGTGCAGGTGGGCACACAAGTGGCTCATTTATCACAGCCAGCCCAGTCCTCACTAAGCTCTACCTCCACCACAGCCATCTTAAACCAACCGCCATGAGAATGCCAGTCACCAGCACTTCGGAGAGCCCCAGGGCACCGGACACACTTGGCAAACCTCTGTGGAGGCCAGGAGCTCCACTATGGCACTAAATGTGGCAGCACTTCACCAGGGTCAGAAAATGGCCCTGTAGATTTTTCCAAAGCCCACTGGCAGCTCCCCAGCAAGCCAGACATTCACATTTATACAAGCACCATTTAAAACGAGACCATCACGTCTCCTCCTAGATTTAAAAAGATTTAAGAACTGCAGTTGTCCTCTGCCTTGGCCTGTGCAGAGAAGAGGCAGTGCAGGCAGCAAGTTAAAACACCATCTGGTTGCTGAGGATTGCACCATCCCCATAAATGCACAATCAGGTATTCTGAGCAGCTGCTGCGCCCGGTCCATCATGAGCTCTTTCTGCCGTTGAGCAGGCGAACGCTCTGGTCCTTTTCATCCAATTTCAGGTGTGTCCAGCTGAATTTCTTAATCAGGGTGCCTGGTATCAACGCCACCATGGCTATGGCCAGTAGCTTAAACAACGTGCCCCAGGAGAAAATGGCATCCAGGGAGGTGATCTGTGAGAGGATGGCACCCGTCTGCACACAGATGAAGTTATAGGGGATCAGACCTGGAAGAGAAGAGGGAGAAGCCTGTTACTAGACAACCATCCCTAGTGCCCTGGTGTTGTCTTCAGGATTGCTCTGGCTAGACACCACAGATCTGTACTGCTCGGAGATGGCATGCAGGGTACAGTGTAAGACACTGGTCAAAGGTCACATCTTCTCTGCATCCAGGTGTGCTGACAAAGTGAGAGCTGCACATGGGGGAGTACAGCTCAGTGCCCCTGGAAGGGTCACTTTCCTTCGCTAGCACTAAGGGGGACTAACCATTGTGAAGCAGGAGACAGGGACAAGCAATGCCCCCTCTCTGCCCCTCCATCCTGGGGAAGGATTTCTGGACAGGCTGCGCCCAGCCTCATCTAACACAGCTGGGGTCCTGTCACTGGGAATACTCCGCTCCCAGCCCCTGACACAGCCAAGTGGCCAACCTGGCTGCAGCAGCGCAGTGGGCAATCTGCATCAAATATGCTGTACAGCACCTGGAGAGAGGGCAGCACACATGAGGCTCGGGCCAGGGGCAAGCTTCTGCAGGGCCATTGTATGGGTTTGTGCGAACAGGGGAGATTAGAAATCACTCGTGTTGAACAGCGGAGCTGCAATGCCATTTCCCAGCACTCATTAAAAACCAGTGGGCATCGGGACACCCGACGACAGCTAAGTTCTCTAAAGGAACAGCCATTTCACCCTGGGAAGAGGTGACAGTGTAAGGGCACAGACAGCAGCGAATCAGGAAACTAACACAGCCACGTGACTGTTGCTGTGGGACCCTTAATGATGGAATTCCTCAAGTGTAGCATGGTACATTCTCAAGCTTGCTGGGTTCTAGTAACAGCATAGAGTAGGTTGGGTTTGATCCCCTCCTGAACACAGAGCCTGCGCGCCCCCAGCCCCAGCCCCTTACCGATAAGGACGGAGAAGAAGAACTGAGAAACCGGGATGTTCAGAATCGGAGACGCCAGGTTCAGAAACCAGTTTGGGGTCATGGGGAAAAGTCTCAGAAACAACAAGAAGAAAAATAAGCAGCTCCTGTTCTCCTCCACCTGCCATTGGACAAGAGAAACCAGGTCAGTGCTGCCACTGCCTGTTACTGGCCAACTACTGCAGAGCCGAGACACCCAGTCTGACACGAGCAGAAGGTCAGGACTTCATTTCAATAAGCCACAATGTAACATCAGCCCAGAAATAAAAGCAAACCAGAGTAGCTTAGTACCACCGTACCCACATGCACCAGGATCAGCTTCGTCTGTGCAGCAGCTGCACCCAGTGAACATACGCGCAAACCTGGGGCATGAAAGACCAGTGGAAAAGGGGGCAATCACTGACGGACAGACATGATCAAAAAAAACACTTACACAAAGGGCAGCTGCATTCCCTGCAACTTACCCTGCTTTCCGGCAGCGCCATTCTGCTAGTGAAAATTGGTTCTCAAGGTCACTATAATGGGTAGTCCTTAAAATTAAAAAGGCAGCCGAGTGACAGTGTGGAAGGGAAGGGTGAACATGCAACCTTAGCCCTGTCCCTTGAGCATCTCCTTAACAGTGTAAGTGCACCTTTTGCTGTGTCCAGGCAGCAGCACTGGGAGAAAGCATTAGGATGTGATCAGCCAGACGTTCTCCACACCCTCAGGGCTTGCTCCTGCCAACGCTTACCTGACTGACTCCACTCCCACTAGGAAACGCTCCGCCTGACAGCAGTGTTTTCAGGCTCGGGCCCTCAGTAACACAGCTGTTGGGAGTGTTCCCAGTGCTGTACACGGGCACCGATCAATTCTAACAGCACAATACTGCCTAAGGGAGGCTTTGCACTTAGTGGCCAGACTTTGGAGGGGTTAAAAAGGACAAAGAAGGACACAGCAAGCCCCTCCCTCCTGTCCCATGGAGCCCATCAACCTCCTTAGCACAATAGGCACCTGTCAGCTTGGCCAGCCACTATCCCATGCTCTGCTGACTCTTGGGGCTGCAGGCTAAGGAGGCACTGCCGTTCCTGTGCAGACCCCTCAGGGCACAGTTCAAGGCAGCATCAGTCTCTCTCTCTCACACACACACCCCCGGCCAGCACTCAGCCTCCAAGCTGCATTCTCCACAATATTATTCTGCAGTTAAAACCACTCTAAAGCTCTTGTGCAGCAAACATCTTCAGCCAACCTACAGCCTTTGCTCTGTTTAACAGACACAAGACTAAGAGGGCTGGCTTAAAGCAGCTTCCAGCCCTTGTAATGCCTTAGATCATTTTAAGGATTTGTACCAATTTACATTGCAAAACAAGAGCAGCCTTCCCATATGCTCCCGGACAGTCCTAGCAGGGGACGGCAGGTGGACTGGTCAGCAGGCACGAACAGGTGGGGCACCAAGTCAGGCGGTCTCTGTGCCAGAGCTGATTTTTAAATGTGAATACAGGAACTGAATCTACGCCAAGTTTCTGTTTGCAGAATTCAGCCATTATTGCTTGAGAGCTCAGAGTATCCCACCCTTCCTAAGTGTCCACTGCATTTTATTCTTGTCAGCTGTACTGGTCAAGCAGGGTTATGGCAGAACGAGCTAGTATCTTCCTGGGCATCAAAGTTACTTACCAAGTTCCAGCTAGTTACACCTGCCTTCAAAGAGGTTGCTAAGGAATCTCTGAAGGCCCAATTTGGCCTGCTGGCGACAATGCATGAGAAAGCAGAGCCCAGCTCAACTCTCAGAATCCAGGGTGCATTTATCTTTGAGAGGAGCAGAGAGAGACTGACACACAAACATGGAACCCCCTGGAGCCACTCATCCAATTCCTTTTCAAAGCAAACTGGGCTGACGCTAGAGGGCACTACCATGTCCCTGCTCTCAGAGCAGGAGTACCTACTCCATTATCCAAGGGATAGCTAATATGGTTAGTTCTCCCTCTGAAAAGCTCATGTTGCTTACATTTTGGGTCCACTGGACTGATTCCAAAGCCAGAAGGACAATAACTGCCATGGTGGTAGGACACAGGGGACTAAGGAACCACAAATGCAAGCCCTGAGCTAAGACGGGGCTGTAGAATCACAGCTCAGCTCTGCTCCAGTCAGCCCATCACCGGGGGTTTGTCCCCATGCCCTGAGCAGAGGGACTAGCAGCAAGGATCTCTTTACCTTTCTTTGCAGCATGGCCACTTTATCAGGAAACCAGTAGACTACAAACTGTTTTCCAAAGGCCCCAGAGAGCAGGTAACAGCAGGTGGCACCCACGGAAGTCAAAGCAGAGCACAGCAAGAGCCCCATCCATGGTCCAAACAGAGCCCCAGCGAGGATGTTCTGGTAGAACAAAAGCAGGGAGTGAGACTTTATGAATAAGAGACTGGACAAAAGCATTCAGCAATGCGTACACAATCACAGCCAGCCCAACCCTCCTCTGGCCACATGGGTAGCTTGATGGGGAGCCAGCCATCCCCTTTGCTCCCACAGGGGCACAGCTTCACTGCCTGTTGTGGACTTTCTGTATTAAAGCTCCAGAGAGAGGATCCCCCATCCAGAGAAGGCAGAGAGTTTGGGGACAGCATCAACCATTCCAAAGAGAGGAGCTCTGTCACCTTCGCATAAGATGCCAGCCACATCTGGGGCAGGGAAGCACCTAGCTCAGTTGTGGCCTCCGAGTGCCACCATAACACAAATGGTTAAAACTCATGGCTCATTCTAGAAACTTCACCAGTGCAGGAGAGCAGTGTCTGAACTGACCACTGCAGTCTCAGTCCTTGAGTCAGGCAGCTTATGGAGGAGACTCACTCGGTTCTTCCCTCAGTCCCTTAGTTTCAGGGCTTGAAAGGTACCTGGCTCAGGTGACCTAAAGCATTTCCACAGTGCAGCCAGCATCTTAGCAGAGGTTGTCTCATGGGCGCCTCCCCCTTCCCATTTGTGATCAGACAATAGGCCCAGGCCAACTACAACCTCTGCTGACATGGAATGGTAATAGCAGAGGAATATTTAGAACTTATTTAAAGCTATTCAAGGTGGCAGGAACCAGGGTGAACCAAAAACATGGACATGAGTAAAGTGCTTGAGCACCGCACAACAGTCTGATTGAAAACCAGCTCTATCCAAACTCAACCAGGTGCACAGTAAGTGGATTACTAACAGATCGCCACGTGTAATCATTGGGTGGAATCCTGCAGAGATTGGACCTCAGCCCAAGGCTGTTCAATATTAATATTTTTATCAACAATTTAGAGATAAACATAGAGTCACTGTAGATATTGTATATGGAAAAACTGGTTGTTTCCTAAATAATGAGGAAGGCGGGGGTGGGGTGTCATACAGAGACAACAGAATCACTTGGTAAATTGGGCATGATCCAAAACTACACATTTTAATATGGCCAAACATAAGGTCACATCTATAAACAGAGAATGTTAGTCACATGGCATGTGGAACCCTAGCCTGAAAGCAGTGACTCTGAATAGGACTTAGAAGTCATTAAACTGAGCATGAGCTTCCAGTGCGAGGCTTTGACCCTTGGAGGTATAACCGGGGGAATATAAAGGAGCAGGGATGAGCTTCACCCCATAGCGTTGTCACTAAACCTTGATGGTGCAGCCCACGTAGTATTTTTTATCCGCCTCTGGCTAGTAGGTCTAGTCCCCAGGCAAGGGGTGTGCAATGCATTTCTCAAACTCCCAGAGAGAAGTCCTGTTCACCTGGAAGCAAGATGACAGGCCAGGACAGTGGGGTTTAAATAGTGACCCCAATAAACGAGAGAGCCCAGTGAGTGGGCTAAGACCCTACGGCAAATCCCAGCTTCGGAAAGTCTGGTGAGGGAAAAGGAACAGAGTGCTAGAGAGCTGAGCAGGTGCGTACCAGAAAGCTGGAGCCGGGGATGGCAAAGGATTGCTTGTAGAGGTAGGCAGCACAGAACAGCAGCAGCACATAGCTCTGGTGCTCTTGCTTATAATACTGTAGAAACTCTGCAAGCTCTCGCAGCTCCTCCAGGTCTGATGGGAACTTGAGTGACCTGAGAAGGAAGAGGGAGATCCAGCTAAAAATGATAAACCCTTGACACTCCAAGCATCTCTCAGACATTCTGCACACATTAACAAATGGACAGCCAAGGTCAAATATCTTCACCTGATTTTACAAATGGGGAAACTGAGGCAGGTTAAGTTACTTCGGGTTAGAGGAAGTCTGTGGCAAACTGTCTAGTGACTTAAGTTCCCTCTAAGCTGCGTGGCCATGCAGCAGGCTATAAAGATCCATGTAGGCACGCAGCCTGGAGAGGTGAGAGGTAGGGGGTGGGTGGGGAGGGGAGCAAGTTGGGGCACGCAGGGCTGCCGGCACGGAGAGGCGCCTCTCCCCCCGGCCCCAGCCCCAGGGCTGTTGTGGTGAGAGAGGGCTGGGGGAGTACTCTCTCCCCGGGGCAGCCTGCACCCCAAACCCCTCATCCCTGGCCCCACCCCAGAGCCCACACCCCCTTCCAGAGCCCCCAGCCCTGAGCCCCCTCCCACACCCAGAACCCCTCTTCCCCAGCTCCAACCCAGAGCCCTCACCCCTGCACTCACCATCTGCCCCAGCCCTGAGCCCCCTCCTGCATCCCAAACCCATCATTGCCAGCCCCACCCTAGAGCCTGCATCCCCAGCACCCCATGCCCAACCCTCTGCCCTAGCTGAACCCGCTCCCACACCCAAACCCTTCATCTCTGTCCCCACCCCAGAGCCCGCACCCCAACCCTCTGCCCCAGCCCCAAGCCCTCTCCGAACCCTTTGGTCCCACCCCCACCACACATCACCTCGATATTCGGTTCACATAACAAAATTAATTCTGCACCTGGATATAAAAAATTAGAGGGAACATTGCTAGTGACTCAAGGACATTCTCATTTGAACAACAGAGTTCCTAGGAAATCCACCAGCAGGCTTTACACCAACCTAGGCCTTTTCTAAGTGTGAACAGCAGTGCTATATTGCAGAGCAAGCTCCTGCTTTATCTACGCAGTGCACCCATTCAGCTTGACAAACGTTCCCATGACCGACCTTTGGTATTGCTCAGCGGACCCATCCAGCCTGCACAGAACAAGCTGAAACTGCCAGAAAAAAAAGAGAGAGAGTTTTCCCTACCTGGTCTTCAGCAAACTGAAAATTAACAGTACTGTTTGCATCCAGCCTGGAGCATTCATCTCCTACCCTGAAGCAGGACTGAAAACAGCATCCAGGACATCACTAGATGGGACTGGAGCCAGTGCACAGATCACCATGCTGCGTGCAAGCAGCCGACATTCCTCACAGAGGAGGTGTTGGAGACACCAGTGCCAGGATCTCTTGGCCACCATGGCACTGACTATCCCAGGTTGCTGCTGGCCCGACTCATACCACTGGCTGCCCTCTGGATCTGGTGTTTGGGCTGAGTATGGAGGTGTGACAACTGGAGATTTTACCCATGGCAGGGACTGACTGTTGCCTCCTGCAATTTGAGGTTGGGGCTAGGCACTTTGATGGCCCTTCCTCAGAGATTAATTGGACCTGGTCATTTCTTGAAGAAGAATATTGTTCACAATAGGACTGTATGAAGATCTTTTACCTTCCACTACTGGTTAAGTGCTGTGCATCTTCCTTATTGGTTTCCACCTCACAGGTCATCATGGGTTACATCTCTCCTCTGGCAACTGATGGAAAAAGCTCAAGTGGCAGAAATCTCACACTGAATTGGACAAATTGCTTCATAACATATCTTGAAATCTCATGCTGTGGGTGTGCAAAAGTTTCTTTGCTTCCACCACTGTACCCACTAAGTCTCACTCAGATGATTTATGCTGATGAATGAATAGGAAACAGCTGTTACTCTGTACGCAACAAAACTCCAACACACCAAGCAGATTCCGACACAACCACCTGCTTCTGTGGCTGCAGAGTGATTTCTGGAGAGTTCAAACACTGAATTGTCTCTGGTTGGACAAGGGCTGTTGGTATCACTGTGTTCCACAATCTACTCTTTGGACTAGCATCCCACCTGACTGGGGAAGACCAGCAGGGGACACTTGTCCATTGTTGTCTGAAACACCCATAAAATGCAACGCAGTTAAAGAGAGAGTGCATCTACTATCACCATCAAAGTGCGTATCGTAAACAATTGTCAACCATACAAAATCTGCACAGCTATCAGGATTTGTTCAAGCTTGGGGAAACTGTTACAGAGAAAGATAAAACGAGCTTAACAGACAGATACCCATTCTTAGATATCATGGCCTGAATCCCGTCGCAGAGTCAATGAGTTAATTCACTCAGAGAGAGAAAAATCAAGGGGACCCATTCAAGTCTCCTGCCTTTTGTCCTACCTCTAAGGATCTGTTAGCCCTCTTCTCTCTGAAAAAGTAAAAGAACGCCCAGCCCTCTGCTGGCCTATACAGTTCATTTAAAGAACACCACATCCTTTCTACAGAGCCAGATAGCAGTCTGGAATATGTCAGTCTGTGCGAGGGGCCACACACTGGCATTCCAGTTTGAGAGGGGAGTCTACATCTCTACACATATCTCATCATTAAAGGAGTTTTCACTGTGTGCACACATGTGTTTTTCACTTGCCATGCTCCACAACAGCGTTCTACCCTTGACTGTCAGAGACCTTTTTGCACCTTATTGGCAAAATAACATTAAGCTAGAAAGAGTTACTGGTCAGTACAAGTCACCTGGTTTCACCCCAGGCAGTAAGGCATGAGCAGGTCTTCAGCAGGGTCAGATCCTCAGCTGATATTAATTGTCCTTGTGCCATTGACCTCAGTGGAGCTATGACAATTTGCACCAGCTGAGGTTCTGCCCCAAAGAGCACAGGGGCCTAGAGAACAAACTCAGGTAACACATAGCAAATGGTATATTAGAATCCACAGTTAAGTGATGCAATGAGAGCTAGTACCTGTGGGTAGGGTGGGCTATTGCTTGCTCTGACTTGTTTTCTGGGTGGTAATTCCTGGTTTTGGGGCAACAAAGGGCTCAAAGCTGGCCAAACCTTTGTTAGGCAGAGCTAAAAATCGAAAGGAATCCCAACTAGAGATAGACCGCACGTGTCTAGGCTTTTATGTGCTTTCTGTAAAAAAAAAAAAAAAAAAAGTAGTTTAACTAAGAGTTACCTGGCCTTGCACCTGCCTACTTGAGCAGTCACTCTCCCAGGACCATAGCGTCACAGTGCAGAGAAGCAGAAGGCCCTTTGGTTCTGAGCAGCCAGAAGCAGGGTATTCTCTATGAGGGTCCTCCACGTCAGAATTCACTCTTCCTAGGTGTCATATGGCCCAAATGTGTTGCCGTTCAGAGCACATAACACAGCCTCTCCTTTTACAGGGGCTTTTGGGATGGGGGACACTACCTGAGGGCTGCTATTTCAGAAGCAGGGTATTTTCTTTATACAGTGCTGCTGTAAGGGTTAGGCCTGGTCCACATTTAAAAGGTTGACATAGCTAAGTGGACAACAGGTGTGAAAAAAAAAATCAAACCCTTGAATGCCATACTTATACCACCCTAGCCCCAGTGCAAACACATCTATGTTAATGTAAGAATACTATCATCATCAGGGATGTGGCACTCTTACACTGACAGAAAAACCTCTTCTGCAGGTGTAGGTTGCATCTGTGCTATGGGGTTATGTCTAGTTGGGACATTGTCGGCATAACCCCATAGCATAGACATACCATCAGTCAGCTATTGCTGGTGTATAATGGAATTTGCTGGAGCACTTGCCTTTTTGCTATTTGTTGTTTTAAAGAAGTATCAAGGACACCTACAGCTTTGGAGAGGGACCTTTCTTGCTACAATATAAATCAAAGCAATAAAACACAAAACATCTGCCAAATCCTAGCAGTCAGGATAGATGAAGGATCCTAGAAGGGTATGTCAAGCCGAAGATGACCGGCACTAACATTGTTAGTTTCAAAGCTTCTCAAAGATCTGATTTCACACTGATTTGCTATTGCTAAACATAGCTCAGAACATGCAACACCATATTTCTATGGATTTCACACCCTGCAAAGATCATCACATGGTGGGGATATATTTTTAGGCTGCCACCCTATACTAACAGGTCAACAAAAATCCAGTATTTCACCCATTCATCCTGAACATTACCCTCAGTCAAAATCAGATAGAGAAAACCCTCCTAACTCTTGAATCATTTAAAATCTTTTCACATGGGGAAATAGTGCATGCACCTGAAAGTTGCCATTTTCCATTGCAAAATGTGCACATGCATTAGATCACAACAGTCATTCTCCTCTGGGCTTTCCTCCAGGACACCCAAGGCATCACAGCAGTCCCTCAGCAAAGCACATTGCCCACAGCGCCGCCACCCTGCAAATTCTGTCGGCGGGGTGACAGACGGACGAAGCGAGGGTCGAAGGGTTTTCTCGAAAGCGGCTCCGGGATGCTGGGACGGTGGGCTGCAGGTGCAGTAAAGCCCTAGATGGCCCGGCCGGTTGGTCCCACCCTGGCCCACGTGCTCCCGGACCCCAGCACCCCGCCTGCAGGCCCGGCCCCGTGCCCCACACCAGGGGCACCGGGCGCTGGCGGCAGCACCACGAGCCTGGGGAGCCCGGCCCCCTCGGCAGCCCACGGGCGCTCGCGCCCAGCTCTGGTGACCCAGGGGTCCCGGGCCCACAGCGAGAGCGGCGCCGTCAGGCACGGGCGCGAGATGTGGGCGGCTCCCGCTGCGGGGAGGAGCCGCTTCCCCCGGCCAGAGAGGGCAGGACCGGAGCCGAGCTGGGGGGAGGGAGCTGGGCCCGGCCGTCACCCACCTGCCGGCCCCGAGCGGGCCCCCCGGGCGCAGCCGCGCCGACAGCAGGTAGAGGCCGCAGGAAGCGGCCCCGAGCAGCGCCAGGAAACCGCAGAGCGGCCGCATCCCGGCGCGGGAGCTGCAGCGCCAAGAGCGCCGGGTACCGGCGGTTCGCGGCGGCCGATCACGTGACCGACCGGCGGCTCGCCCCACGGAGCCACGTGACCGGAGCCACGTGACACGGGCCGCGCTCCTGCAGCCCGCCCTGTTGCGGCCTCGCCCGCCCGCGTGAGAGCGATCGGCTCCCGTGCGGCCTGAGGCCCCGCCCCGGGCCTCTGGTGCTCTCGCTCGCCACGGGTAGAACTGGGGCTGCGGCTGCCTCCGGCCTTGGCTCATCGGGAGTTTGTGCCCTGGCGCCCCCGAGCCTGCTGGGCAGCAGCGCCCCGGGGTGGTTTGCGCGGGAGTCTTCCCTCTGCGCGTCCCGCCCTGCCCTGGGCTGCCCTGCACCGCCCTGCACCTCCGCCTTGCCGCGTTCAGACAGAGCCTGCTCGGGTTGGCGCGGTGACCGGGCTCCGGGCCTGCCCTCCGCAGTGCTCGCCGCTCGCCTCAGTCGCGTGTTTTCACCTCCATTACCCGGGTTACTAATGACCGTGTTGGATAGCACCCGCCCAAGGCTGGGCCCGTGGGGCCGCGGGAGATGTGGCCTCCCGGTTTGACAACGGACTCCTGGTTACTACTCTGTGGGCACAGCCTTTCCCAGCGTGCACCCACCCACCGTTTAGCAAATCCATCTCAACCCCGTTGCTCCGGTTTGTTTAAGAGAATGTCAGGTGGGGCTGTGTCAAAGCCTTATTAAAATCAAGATATCTCACGTCTGCTGCCTCCCTGCAATCCCCTAGTCCAGGAACTCTGTCAAAGGAGGAAATGAGGTTGGTTTCTTTGTGATGAATCCATGCTGGCTGTTCCCTATAACCAGTGATGAGATGCCAAAATCTTAACAACGAGTTCCCTCCTCAACCCGCGAGGGGGTGGTTGCCAACTCTTGCCCCATCCAGCCCCCCCCCCCGCATTCCTTGGCGCCCACTCCCCCCCAGGACCCCTGTCCCATCCACCCCTGTCCCCTGACTGCCCCCAGAACCGGGCAGGAGGGTTTCATGGGCCACCGTAGTGGGTGCCCACCCCAGCCCTAAGAGCCAGAGGCACCTGCTGCAGGGCGAGGTGGGAAGTCCCAGCGGTGCTTACCTAGGGCAGCTCCCAGGAAGCATCCGGCAGGTCCCTCTGGCTCCTAGGGGTGGGGGAGCGTAGCTAGGGGGGGAACAGGGGGAGTGGTCACTCCCCCCACAGATCACATCAAAAGTGGCGCCTTAGGCGCTGACTCCCTGGGTGCTCCGGGGCTGGAGCACCTACAGGGAAAATTGGTGGGTGCAGAGCACCCCCCCGGCAGCTCCCCGCCCGGCCCCAGCTCACCTCCGCTTCCTTTCCTGAATGCACCTCCCCACTCTGCCTCTCGCCCCCCCCCCGGCTTCCCGCGAATCAGCTGTTCGGCGGGAAGCCTGGGAGGATTGAGACGCAGGCCGCGGCTTCCCGCTCAGGCCAAGGGTGGTGGAGGTGAGCTGGGGCGGGGAGTGGTTCCCCTGCGCGACCCCACCCCGGGTTACCTGCTGCGGCACGGGCAGCCCTCGCACCCCCCCCGCCCAAGCTCACCTCCGCTCTGCCTCCCTGGGCCTGAGCCGGAAGCCGCCGCTTGCTTCTCAGCCCACCCCGGCTTCCCATGCGAACAGCTGATTTGCGGGAAGCCGGGGGTGGGGGGCGGAGAAGCACAGCGGGGCAGCACGTTCAGGGGAGGAGGCGGAGCGGAGGTGAGCTGGGGGTGGGGCGGGAAGCTGCTGGTGGGTGCTCTGCACCCACCAAATTTTCCCCATTTGGGTGCTCCAGGGCTGGAGCACCCGTGGAGTTGGCACCTAAGGCGCCACTTTTGACCGGTTAAATTTAGATGCCCTTTGAGAACCGGTTGTCCCTCATGGAACAACTGGTTCTAAAAGGGCTTCTAAATTTAATAACCGGTTCTAGCGAACCGGTGTGAACCAGCTCCAGCTCACCACTGCCTATAACCCTATTATTCTCCAGGTGCTGACAAATTGTTTAATAATTAGTTCCAGAATCTTTCAAGGTATCAAAGTTAGGCTAATTGACCTATAATTCCCTGGACCCTCTTTGTTCCCCTGTTTTAAAGACAGGTACTATGTTTACCCTTCTCCAGTCTTCTGGGCCCTCACCCATCCTCCTGGAGTTCTCAAAGGTAATTGCTAATGGTTCCAAGATTACTTCATCTAGTGTTTTAAGTACCATAGGATTAATTTAATCAGGCCCTGCCAATTTGACTACATCTAATTTATCTAAATAGTCTTTAACCTGTTCTTTCGCTATTTTGGCTTTCATTCCTTCCCCCTTGTTAATATTAATTGTGTTGAGTGCAGGGACTGTCTCCTACTCTGTGTCTGTGCTTGGGCCTGATTTCAGTTGGACGTTTCTAGGGGCCACCATAATACAAATAGTAGTATAAAAAAGTACTGAGCACCCACAACTGAAATTGAAGTCAGTAGCAAAGATGAGTTCTCAGTACTTTTTGTATTATTATTTGTATTATGGTAGACCCTAGAGCGCGCCAACTGAGATGAGGCCCCAGCACAGAGTAGGAGACAGTCACTGCACCAGAGAGTGTTGTACCTAACTAGGCCAGACAGACAAAGGGTGAGAGAAAGGAAAGATTCTTATTCTCATTTTATGTTGGCCATAATAATTTGTTGTAAGCATGTGCCCGTGCTGCCATTGTACCCCCCAACACTGCTACCCCATGAAGCTGCCAGAGAAACATTTCCTTTTTCCCCCTGACGTATGTAGAATTTTTGCCCTGGGGATAAACGATATTCAGTCCTGTACTTACTATAGATTTAAGGCTGAACAACTTTTTGGGACTAGTAGAGAGAGCTTTAGTCCCAGTTTCCCAGGGGTGCACACACTTGCATCACTCCCTAAAAGATCCTGGAATAGTGGCCATTAAAATTACATTTCTATACATGGAAAAGCTATTTTATGTCATTTTAGATGTCTACAACTGTATCAGTTATGATTTTTCTCTACCG